ATCTGACTGGAATTTGTGTGTACAAGCTCTAAAGGCATTGCAATAAAATGAAGATATAATTTATTTAATACATTTTTTTTAGTGCACAGGACAGGGACTTTAAAGAGGGTTGGGGGGAACTGGGCCCATGGGGCGATAGGCAATCTGCTTCGACCGCCGGCTGGCTTCCGTTGCCGGAATGTGGTGACAATGTCTTCTTGGGCTTTTCTCCGCCTCTACCTTTTGGCTTAGGCCTTAGCTTTAGCATTGGCTTTGGCTTTTCCTTCTGGCTTGTGTTTGTTTGGTTTTGTTGCCACAGACAATTGCATTGTTGTTGCTGCCTCCTTGGCCGTTGTCGCAATGCTAGTAATTTGTGCAAATGAGCCTCTAAAAAGGCGTGGAGCCTTTGGGACGTGAACCGGGGGAAAACGGAAAAACCCGAGGGGTGGTTAGGGGGATAGGGGAGCCTATTAGGGAACAACCGAAATAGACAAAAAATGTTTAAAGCGCCATTCGGCTATGTAAACGATGCGGGTCCCGCCGAAAAACGAACAACAAGAAAGGAAAGCTGTTAAATGTTTTTCCCTCCATTTTCCAGTGCTTCGTTTTCAGATTTTTACCATAGTTCAAATGGTTCCTTTTTCTTTCGTTTGCTGTGGCGGCAGTAAAATAAAATGATTATACCGTTGGCTTTAAATGTTAATTGAGTTGCCGACAACCAGGCCAATCCTCAGACTTGAAGCACCAGAAATCCAGCCATTAAACGAATCACACAGCTCCATTCAAACTAATCAACAAGAGCACGTGCTCAACGAATACAGATAAATAATAGCAGCCCAACGAAAACAGAAAAAAAAAGAAGAAACAGCCATTTCAGCATAACTATTTACTACTACGCCTACTCTCTGACGTTTTGCCGTCGTTATCTGCGAAAAAATTAGTAGAGGCCCGAATCAAAATAAACCGAAAGTAAACATCACGCATACGGCCATAAATGGGGTGATAAAGCGGCCGGCAAGACGAAGAGGCCGAAAACACGCCTGCGCCATTGAGTTAAATTCCTGCCCTCCCCCTTCTCTTTCCAAAAAAATAAAACCCCTTAGAAAAAATACGCACACATTTTACTGTTACGCACAGCGCTTGTTTTTTTTTTTTGCGATTTAATGCTCCGCGTATTTCACCTGCAAAAATGTCGGTATTTCTCCGCCGTTCGCCTTGTTTACCCCCACTAATTTCCGTCTGGCCTGCCGGCGCTACTTGGCTTTGAGGCCACATCCCCAAAAGTCGGGCTTTTGTTTGCTCAACTCAATTTTATTATTCGCTTTTTGCGGGGAGAAGATTGAAGCAGCGCAGAAAAAAGAAGCAGAAATTATGTGTGTCAGCGGCGGGCAGGGCTAAATAAAAAATGAAACCTCCAAATTAACAGGGACAACAACAACAAAAAAAGAGGTCGCCTTGTTTAAATAAAATAAACAAACAAAAGGCGAATTCAAAATGTTTTGTGTAGTGCCATGTGAGAAAAACCTCCGAAAAAGGCAGAAGGCAGAAGGGGGCGACGAATTGACTCACCTCACGCAATGCAAAAAAACAACTGAAACTAGCACCTTGAACAACAACAGCTAACAACAATCCCAGGCACTTGTCTGATTTTTTCGGCCTGTCCAAAAATAAAACCAAAATAAAAAACATACACACACGCTCATAAAGATCGTCTGGCAACGTCATGGGCAAAATATAGTATAAACACAAAAAAAAAACAAACCATAAAAAACAAGACAAAAATGTAGGCACAAAAATATTGAATAATAAAAATGCGTATGTGTGGTGATTTGTTTTGATTTCATTTCGCTTTCCATTGTTAAATGGAAAGATTTTGCATTTATATTGCGCATACGCACCGTGGCCGTTTGAAAACTGGTTAAAATGCGAAACCAGAGCGCTTCCTGTAGAGATACCATAAATACACCCATCCATCGATCCATTTTGGGTCCGAAAACACTTGTCATTACACGATTTCCTTTTGTCCAAATTGTATTTACCTTCGCTTGGTTCGCCTTACTTTTCTTTTTCGTTTTCCAACGAACATTTCCGCTTTTGTTGTTGCTGTTTGCTGTTGACATTGGCTTGAATAAGCGCAGATATGTGCCATAGAATCTTGGCTCTTATCGTGCAAACTGATAAGCTAAAAGCTCTTTCGCCGCACAAAAACCTCAATGAAGTTCTGGGCTAGCAAAACAACAAAAACCGCTCCACTCTAATCACTGAAATCAGCCAACGACTTCAGGTCTTTTTGTTCGCTTTTTCTGTTTTTTTCGGTCGGAGGGGCTTTTATTTTCGCCTGCGTATAAATTACACTTGAAAATGGTTTAGATTTTGATTGGCGATATCTGAGGGGCCTTTTTATATGGCAGATTGCCGGCCATCGGCCACCGAGTCGTCGCTTTGTCTCCGCCTAACTCGCACTTGCGCTTTCCCTGGGCGATTTGGTGAAAGTTTCCCGGCCCAGGCCGAAAAAACAAGCGAATCTCGAGCACGTGGCTAATTCAATAAGCTTTAATTGCAAGCTACAAAGCTGCAAACTGTAAACTGCAAAATGCAAACTGCAAACTGCCAACCGCACTGCAAATCAAGTCGAAATGGAGCCGCAGCCAGCGAATTTCATGCAATTTTCCACACTAATTTCGCCGCCACATGCAACAAACAAACAAGCCAAGCCAAAGCAACCTCCTTCAGTCCGGGGCATATCATATCGCATCTCCTACTTCCTGACACTGCAATGTAATTTTGCTTTCAACACCTCTTTTCCGCGACTCTTGATTGCGGCCAGCCGAAACGTGGTCAAATAATGGCCAGGCGAACAGAAAAACAGCGAAATAGCGAAACATTTCCCAGGCTCAAGAGCTGAAGAGCCTGGCCCCAAAATCGGGCGCGAATATATCGCATTTCAATCACGCGCTCTGGGGCAATTTACGTGCGGCCACGCAGCGAGTAGGCCGAAAAGGCAGCCTGGTCAAAAGGCAGCCAAAGAAGCAGCATCAACAATGCAACATCAACATCAGCTAGTTGCATTGCAACTGCAGTTTATTAAAGTTTTTCCAGCTACAGAGCTCAGCGCAATTGGGCGGAAAGCAAACGGCCTAACGGTACGGATTGTGCGCATTAAATGGCCACATCGTGATGGCCGAAACCAAAACCCCCTTGCAGTTTCCGTCAGGCACGCGCCTTTTGCCGGCCGGCAAAAGCTTAACAAAAATGAGGGGAAAAGAGGCAAGAAGACAGCACTGATTCTCCACGGCTTCTTCTTCTCTCGGGGAAATGTCGATTTATGCGCGAATTTACTTTTATGCGATTAGCAACGATCTGCGGCCGAAATTTATCGTCGAGTTTAGTAAATTTAATTGGGACGGAAATCCAGGCAAGCTGAGGTGGCTGGTGCCAAAGCTAGTGCCAGTGATAGCCGCGCATTAGACAAAAGGCTTAAACCTGGTAGCCGAGTAATAAAGTTTTATGGCCCAGCTAGCAGGCCGACGAAGCCTGCATTCGGCTAAGTGCAGTCTTGGCCACAATTGCCAGCGGCTCTTCACATTGCACAATGGGTGGAGGGAGGAGAAAGAGAGTCAACGGCACGAGTTGTGTTTGGTGTTTTGTGTGTTTGGCCCAAAGCAGATGGCCGGGAGATAACAAAGCAGTTGGAAGGGAGTTCTGGCTGCAAATAAGCCGCTTAAGTCTAAGCATCAATAATTGCTCGGTGCATCGCTGCACTAGCTCTCCAGCTCACAAAAAAAAAACAAGTCGCTGTCAAATCGAGATGCGCATGGTAAATTTCTGGTATTGCATATCGGTTGTACCGAAGTCTCTCTTTCGGAGATTCTCTGATTTCGAAAAAGAGAGGAAGGGAGAAAGACAATACTCGAAATTCGAACCGGGCAATGCAATCAAGTCAAAATTTATACCAAGTAACGTAAAATCGATCATCGTTTCATATCAAGTTTTTTTTTTTTGTGTAGTATCTCGACTTGCACTCCAAGGAACCAAGCTTAATCCTGGCACGCATCCCTTTTTGGTTAGCCGTGGCCATGACGATGTCTCAATAGCCAAAGCATTTGCCTCAATGATCTTGGGGGAGGCACTCTGCTTGATTGTGGCGGTTATGCCAAATCAGTTTTTCCCTTTCAAATGTTTTGAATTTATGACAGTGTCGCGTCTTTATGGTTATTCCACCTCCTACCCACCAATCACCAGATGCATTCTGTCTCTATGCTTCAACCAATGTTGACTCGGCTTCCTTTGTTCAATTTATTCGAGCTCACAAACACGCTGTTCATAAGGATTTTCGCCGATTTGGCCAGCGAAGGTTGCGCCAAGGTTAGCTTAAAGCTTAAAACCAACATGGGTTGGAAAATCCAATAGATCTGGGAAATCTACCGACTGACTGAATGACGTCGCTTCAACTATGTGAGGCCGTCGGAAGGAGGCCAATTAATGACGAAACAATAACACACACAATGGGCGGCAGTTCAGTTCAGTGGAATTTGGTGGCCACAGAAATTAGTTAAATGGAAAAATAGTTTAGCGATGTTTTGCATTGAAATGCCGCTGGAGGCGATTATCGCTCAAAAAGACCTCGGGGCATTGTTGTTGTGTAAATTGCAAACGATGGGCGGCCGCTTTGATGTTGGTAAGCCAAAGGCTGCCGTTCGCCTGCGTGTCTATATCTTTATCGGCCAGTTTCTAGTTTCTATATGTAGATGAGCGCTTGTGGGGGTGGCTGATAAAATCAAGAATCAAAACTGGGTCAATGCTCAGAGCTGGAATTGATTTGTTGGTTAAATAGGGAGGGGTATGCAATAGAACTAGGTCAAGAAGATTGTCATTTAACTTAAAACTTAAGAACTTAAAATATTTTATAATCTAAAATATCTTGAATACAATTATTTAAAATGAGGATAAACTTAATATTAACCTTTAATCCTCTGACAAACTTAACTAAGCCCTCCTTTTTTCCCCTTCTTATCTTTCAGTCCCCGGAAACGTCCGCCCAGCGATCTGCAGGACTACAGCAACTACGAGGAAACATGCCGCGCCGCCGAGATTCTGTCCTCGATGAAGCTGCAGAGTCCGCATGGCTGTAGGTCATCCCCCTCCTGAACCCCGACCCCCCTTTGGCCCGCCCGATTCGCTAATTAATTTTACCAATTCCCCAGCAATGGCCGACAAGTGCTCGAGTCCCGGCAGCAGCTCGTCGGCTTCCTGGAGCTCCGGCTCCGCCTCGCCGCCCCTGAGCGACGACGGCCACGCCCACCACAGTCCACACAACATAATGTCGCCACATGATGCGGCCAACGCTCGCATACGCACAACATCGGTGTCCACGTCGGACGAGGGCATTGTCATCGACTTCAAGGAGGAGCGCAAGAAAAAGGTGAGTGATTCGATTTGATCTAGCCTTCTTGCTGAATTCAGAAATCTAGATATAGATATAGGAAATCTAGATATAAGAATGCGGCCAGAGGAATCTAGGCTGTCGGCGGTGGAGCGTGACATTTTGTTGCATTTTAATTGCAACTTTGTGTATAGATTTTAATTGCCATAATTATGTAAATGTCGGTCTGTTCTTGGCACGGCCACACGGCGTATGCTTGATGCGCCACTGCCACCGCCTCACACATCGCCCATTATTCATTACTCATACTCATACGCAATGCCGCCGGCGAAGGGAAACATATAAATAATCAAATAAATGTCGAAAATGATTCTCGCCTAGGAGAATGCCAACGCATCAATCACACAAAAGGGCAATGTCAGCAGCTCGTTAACTTGGCAAACACACACATACACATGGCAAAATCAATAATCCCCCACCCCCCTTCTGCACAAAGAGCCCACAGAGTTGGCTCTTTAATTAATTATGTTTGAACTTTAAGGGCCGCAGCCCGAAAATCGAAATCGAGAAGCGAAACACAAAACTTACGCAACTGAAAACCAACAATAACGAACGCCCCCCTTTTCGCCGCCGGTCGAAAAAAAACTTCTGCCGTTTGTTTGCCCAACTAGTTACGCTTTTTTGCCCGCTCGTGTGTTTGGCTATTTCGTTTAGAGCTTTTAAGGGCTCTTAACAGCAAACACACAAAAACCTAAAAACAACGACAACGAGCAGCGGCAAGAACAAATATCGAAGTGAGCAGCAGCCGCGCCAGAATATGTTAGCCTTGAAAGTCTGATTAGATTTTCATATGGTGGTTACATGTTTTATTTACACGAGGTCAGGCTCAAAAGAACACTGAAAAATATTTTAATAATATTTATGTAGTTCCTAAATTAGAATAAAATATTTAAAATAAGATAGACAACGCTATAAGTTTTTTAAATAACATGGAATCTGCTCAAAATACCTAATGATTGATTCTATAAGTACCTATCTTTAAATATATGATAGCTAGGGAAGGGGCCATACTCTCCATAACAACGTGACTTCTCGCCCAAATCCAATCAATTTTCCATTCATTTCAATTAGTCAAACGCTTTCGAGTCTTCGCTGCCAGCGAATGCACTTTCACTTTCTATACCTGTTGCACAACCGAGCCGAAAAAGCTGACCAAGGCGTCAAACTTCCTGCTCCGCCAGTCTTAAATAAAAAGAGAGAAGAAAATTTGTCTGCGGCTGGGAATGCGCATTTGAATTTATGTGTCAGAGTCAGGCGACCACGCCCACCCTTTTTCGGGGGCCGAGCTGGAAAACAAACAAATGCACAAACGAGCACAATGGAAAAGTTTATTTTGCCAAGGCGTGGCTGGTTAATTGAAAAGATATATGCCGCATTTCCGCATCTTGCATCTCGAATCGCGCCGAATCGCTGGCCAGCGAAAACACAAGCCAGCTGGATGGATGAATAGATGGATAAATGTACGATCGCCGGGATCGCTGAGAACGAATGCAATTAATGTCTAATTGTGCGCAATTATTGTCAGTTGTCAGCTGTGTGATGTGCCGCATCAGAATGCACTCGAATCGAGTGGTGGCGTGGATGTAGAGATGGAGATGGGGATCTTCAAGGCGGCCACGTGGCGCATACGTAATGGCATCCAGCTGACATTACTCATACGCACCGCGGCGCGTGTTACCAGATGCATTGATGATTAACCTTCGTTGAAAGCGCGATTCAAATGGAATGATTTAAACTTAAACTGCAGTGGAACACTCATTGCGGCCTTTGTCTCTCGCTGAATCGTCAACACCATCGTGCGGGTTATTATTTAAAATGCAGATTTATGTGCATTCAGCATTCGCCATTCGCCATTTACCGCCACCCGTGACAATCAGGGCCAAACGGAGCCTCGGGCTGCCCCACCGCCTGCCTTTTAATCAAGGCCCTTGCCATTGCACTCGCATTAAGGCAAAGCCAAGGCAAACCCCCCGAACCCCAACCGCAATGGGTGGTTAAACGCTCGCCCATTAATTTCCAAGCACACTCATGTGGAGTTCGCGATGGCCGCCAAAGGAAAGCCAAAGGAAAGCTCGAGTGGGAAGGCCACAAGTCAATCCTGGAGGGGAAATTAAAACGCAAACTGCCACGATGGCAGGCGGCGATGTGACAAGAGCAATCAGAGTCAGCAATTTGCGGTGACAAACTGCGGGGAAAGTGACTCCCCTACTCAACTAGATCTCTCATAGAATTTCCCCTGAATTTTCAAATTTTCAACTTAATTGGGCCAACCCTTTGAGAGCTGAGCCGCATCAGCATTCACTTTGTAGATGCGGCTAATTGCACACGCCATGTTCTCTCTCTAGTCTAGTATAAACTTTTCAAATTCCAACTCACAGTATAGCATAGTTTTTTGTTTTTGTTTTCGTTTTTTTTTCCGACTAATTTGTTTTATAATATCAAAAGGCAACAAAAACGGCAAAGCCAAAGCAAACAGGCAAATTATAGTGCACAGAGCAGACTGCGCGGCGGTTGATTCAGGGGCGGCGTCGAGGGGGTTCTTTACACTGGGCTGCTGACGGGGGGCAAGGGGCGGATGAGCGGCAGGCGTTGCGGTTAGCTGGCATTAAGCTTTCGCAATGCCTGACAGTTGAAACACAAACAAAAACAATGGCTGGCGGAAGGGGAGGAAATGGGGAGGGGGAAGGGCGGCGGAACTGCATTCGCGGCCAGCCAACATGGCGCTGCACACGTGTCTGTGTGAGCCTTGGCTTAGCTGCTCTGGCCTTTTTTTGACAAATGTGCGCGCATTTTGCAGCTGGCAGCGCGAAAGGCACACTCTTCAAAAACTGAACCCCCCAATTTCGAAACTGGCAACACTTTACCATTCAGGGCATCGTAAATATTAGTGTACAATTTTTTTGATGATAGCGAAAATATTTTTAAACAAAGAGATTGTGTTTTTAAGCAGATTAATAACATACGAGCATATATCGTTCATATTTGTGTACCTTTTTTTAGTGACGGATAACAATATTTTTAAACAGAGAAATTTGCATTATAAAGATTTAAAAAAATGTCTACAAACAACACTTATAATATGTTTTTTTTTTTAAGTAATTGTTGATTGAAACTAAAATAAAAATCATTAAAAAATGTTATTTTTATGATTAAGATTATTACAACTTTTAATGGCAAATTCCTAATGTTTAGAATTGATTTTTTATGAGTGCAGCGAACAGCAGCGCATAAACTGCATTTGCATTTATTTTTAAACAGCTGCCTCTGTTTAAACAAGCTTAAATTTATATTTGTGATTTTCGCTTACACCTCACCTGCGCCCTGGCTTTGCCTTATTTCCTTCGCGTGTCTTCGCTTAACTTTCTGCAAATTATTTTTAAACCGAAAAGCAGTGCAGAGCAGAGCAGAGCAGCGCAGAAATATGGCAGAATTTAATTAAAATTCGTACGAGTGCCTTTGAGGGGCTCTGCAGCAACCTTGAGTCAACATTCACTCACCACAAAACACCACACACTCGAGCACCTCAGTTTCAGTCTCGGAAATCAGAAATCTGAAAACAGAATACAGAGTACAGAAAAATACAAACTAAAAAATAAAAAAAACATGTAGCAATTGCTCTGCCTTTGGCACCTTGTACAAAGACCATAGATCGACGTCAGCATCGCAGTCGTGTGTATTAATTTCACTCATATGGCTGTTAACCTTGAATTCTGATTAGGAAGCGATTTAAATTTATCTATAAGTCATTTTTCTTCGCTTTGGCACTCGCCTTTCGTTCGCCTTTGCCGCTTGCCTTTATTGAGTTATTATTAAAAGTTAATTGTGCTGCTAAAAGCCATTTGGATGCCCTCCCCCCTCGAGATTTGCAATTTGTGGGGCATTAACAATTGCAAATGACTTGGCCAAAGTGTCGACATCTTGGCTGCGTTGGTAGATTAGGCAACCCGTCGACGGCGACGGGCACGGGGCGTATGAGTAATGACTGAGAAGCGAACCAGCTGGGCACAAATGTAATTACACCTTAAGCAGAATAAATGACAGAGCAACTGACTGACAGCCGGGCAGCCTACACCTCGAACCTCAAGAAACTGCAATCGATGGGAGGGGAGGGGAAAACGAAGGGAAAAGCGAAGGGTTACAGAGCAAAAAATGACTTTAAATCATGGTCAATCTTATCTTAATTCTTGTGCAATGAATTACCGATTAGCTATCGACAATAGGAGATGAATCACAAAACTATATTATAAGCACGATATACTTACATAAATTACAATTACACCTGAGCAAATATAACTAAAAACTGAAAAATGACAAAGGCCAAAAGAATTTGCCTTTGGCTTATCAAAAAATTATACTCTAAAAATAGTTGGGTATTTTCGAAACTAAATCACCACTTAAACTTATCGCCAAAGCTGACAAATGTCTCACGTCTTTTGCATTCAACAAGCCAAGGAAATGGCTGCCGCAATCCGTCAAAAGTCAGAAAGTCGGAAAGTCAGTTGCAGGAGTGCCCACAGTCACACTCACATACTCACGCACTCATGTGTGTGGGAGAAACGAACTCATAAATTTGTCATAATTGCAGAAATGTGACTAAGGCGAATGGCAATGGAAAAAGGCAACTGGCAATATGGGGGAGCAAAACAGAAATGCAATAAAAATATTTCTACATACGCAGTTAGCGGCGGCGATATTGGAAAAATGAATATTTAGTAGTTGGCTTTTCCACGGGTCGAGATCTGTGCCAAGTGCAAATGCAAACGGCGAACGGCGAACGGAAAAGCGGAAAACGGCCAGAGCAACAAATGCAGCGCCAATTTTCATGTTCAAGGTGACAAAACAATTCGAAACAAAACGAAGCGGACACTCGAGCCAAAAGCTTCAGCTCATCGTTTGGCCTCGTTTCCGTTTGCCATTTTGTGTGTGTGTTTGTTAGTATCCGTGTTGCTTTGCTGTTTCTGGCTTGCTGCAGTTTTAAC